TCCAGATCGCCCTCTTGACCCAGTTCGAGGAAGAAGCGGGTAACCGTGGGAAGCCGCGCACGTTACCTTATATGCCGGGGCCTGTCACACACGTTACGGATGCGATCTCCAACGGCCGTCGTCAGAATTTGGATGAATACATCAAGAAATTGCTGGCCATGCCTCCTCACATCTCCCGCTGCCAACTGGTCCGCCAATTATTCGCACCCCGCGCTGGGGATTTTGAGATTGATCCGAGCGCATTTGGCGAGGACGCACGGTTCTCGGGTGGCTCGCACCATTCGTCGACGCACGAGCCCTCGCGCAGCGTCTCGCGGCAGTCCTCGCAAGCTCCGATCGCCGTGCACACTGATCGCAACTCTCATCAACGCGGGCAGCCGTCGCTGTCTCTGGGCAACGGCAACCCCCCTCCCATGAACCGCCAACCTAGTTCGATTACCCAGGTTTCTACCACCTCAAGCAGCGGCGCTATGAAGGTTAAAGTGTTTTTCCAGGATGACTTGATCGCCATCCGGGTCCCCAGTGATATCAGCCTCCAGCAGTTGAAGGAGAAGCTGATTGACCGTCTGAAGATTCAAGACGAAATCGTCGTCCAGTATAAGGATGAGCCATCCGGCACGTATGTCGACTTGGCCAATGACGCCGACCTTGACACGGCGATCTCACGAAACTCCAAACTCACACTATACGTCGGAATTGCATAGAAGCGGTGATTCTCCACTTATCTTTTATAGACCTGTCTGATCTTTTCTTTCTGTTTGTCCTCGCCCCTAACATGCTCAGTTGCGGGTGTACTGGTGTTATGGTGTCCTTCTCTTTCTGTCCCTGGTCATCAGCCTCTGAGCGAGTGTTGTTGTTCTGAGTCACGAGGTTGATACGATGACAAAAATGACATGTCTGAAACGTTTATGCCATCATGTACCCTCTTTGAATTTTCCTTTGTCTACCAGGCCATGGCTGATTGTGTCCTCCATACCCTGTTCTGCGTGCGTTGATTGTTCCGTGTACATAAGCCCTCTCCTGCATATAATTTTCAGCGACTGTAGGTGGATGCCTACTTCATTTTTATACTGATGTACCACTGTTTAGAGTGCCAACCATTTACCTCGGGCTTAGTAGTGTTGGCAGTGTAGAAGCCCAGCCAATCAACCACGGGACAATTTCCGTCTCCGCGGGAATACTTACGTCAGCATCGGATCAGTTGCCGAGAACCGGATCACATGACGAGCATCGGAACGAGGTCCATCCCCTTGGCTTTGCGTGGGAATCCATGCCCGTGTTGGTCATACTTCTCAATTTTGCGCTAGATCTTGTCTCTCTTTTCTGTATATTGGCACGACTCTCGAAGTGGACTGTACTGTACATATCGCTCCCCTCACGACTTGTCTCCTATCGCGTGTCCCGAATCCTCCGTCCACTGTTCCGACTGCGATCCTTTCGTCCCCGCTTTTTGTCCCTCTCCGCCGATTATTTACCGACCGGGCAACCTCGGTCGAAACGGAGCGAAGAAGCGCTTTCCACCAGTTTTGCACTGCTTACATGCGCTTGACGATCGCTACGAAGCGCCTTTGAGACTTTCTTTCTTTTCCTTCTTCTTGATTTCGCTTACAGTTCTTGCACCCATGAGCGGCTCGTCTGCGAAAATCTGCGCGGACTACTTGCCCAGCGCATTGCGGGCCCGGGGCTCTGTCCTGCGTCGTGCCGCACCTGCTCCCCGGGAAGGCGGAGGAGTCCGTCGAGCATGTCCTCGCGACACGCGTCGGGGCTTGCATCATGACTCCCGGGCTGTGCGTCCGTCGACGAACGTGCGGGTTTGTGGGGGGTCTGGCCCTGTTGACCTGAGACGGGTCCAGGGCCAGTATGCGCGGAGATTCGCGACGGCGGTTCAGGAGAAGGGCGAAGCCTCTTCTTCTACCTCCCCGGGTGCAGCTGGGCTGCGCGGGGGTCCGTTGGCCGAGTATGATGTGAGAGTGCAGGAGGGTCGGTTGCGGGATGATCCTTATCAGCGACGTAAGTGGTCCTCTTCCTTCCGGGTGTGAAGCATATTGCCAACTCGAGCTTCATTACCCCGAACCAGAAATCATCGAGAAACTCCAAGATCTCTACGAACACCTGACCTCCTACCACCCGCCTACGGTAGTACACCCGAGCCCAGAATCCCTCGACCCCAAACCCAAGTCGTCCTCGTTCTTCGGCTCGCTCTTCGGGCGCAGCAGCGACAGCGCGAAGTCGGAGCTGACGATCTCCGAGTCCCTGCCCAAGGGCCTGTACATGTACGGCGACGTCGGGTGCGGCAAGACGATGCTGATGGACCTGTTCTTCGAGACGCTGCCGGACAACATCCGGGCGAAGAACCGCATCCACTTCCACAACTTCATGCAGGACGTGCACAAGCGCATGCACGTGGTGAAGATGAAGTACGGCCATGACTTCGACGGGCTCCCGATCGTGGCGGCGGACATTGCGGCGCGGTCGAGCGTGTTGTGCTTTGATGAGTTCCAGTGTACCGACGTGGCGGACGCGATGATTTTGCGGAGGTGAGACGCCCACCCACCGATCTGCACGTTATTTCCGTGGCACCTCGGAATACTAAACAACTACTATAAGACTCCTCGAACACCTCATGGCGCACGGCGTCGTGCTCGTCACCACCTCCAACCGCCACCCGGACGACCTCTACAAGAACGGCATCCAGCGCGACTCCTTCATCCCGTGCATCAACCTCCTCAAGACCGCGCTGCAGGTGATCAACCTCAACTCGCCGACGGACTACCGCAAGATCCCGCGCCCGCCGGCGGCCGTCTACCACCACCCGCTGGGCCCGGCGGCCGACGCCCACGCGCAGAAGTGGTTCGAGTACCTGGGCGACTTCACGCACGACCCGCCGCACGCGACCACCCAGGAGGTCTGGGGCCGCAAGATCGCGGTGCCGCAGGCCAGCGGCAAGGCGGCGCGCTTCTCGTTCCAGCAGCTGATCGGGTCCGCCACGGGCGCGGCCGACTACCTGGAGCTGGTGCGCAACTACGAGGCGTTCATCATCACGGATGTGCCGGGCATGAACCTGAACCAGCGGGATCTGGCGCGACGGTTCATCACGTTCATCGATGCGGTGTACGAGAGTCGGGTGAGTAGCCTACATTCCCAGCTTAGCATCCTTTCCCCTTCCGTCCCCTTCCCCTCGCCCTCTTCTACAACCTCCATACTCAAGACTGATTGCACGGATAAAGGCCAAACTCGTCCTCACCACCGCCACCCCGCTCACCAACCTCTTCCTCTCCGAGTCCGACGTCCGCACCACTCTCTCCGACCAATCCGGCGACGACCACTCCGACCTCTCCGACGCCATGCGCATGATGATGGACGACCTCGGCCTGTCCATGCAGGCCCTCAAGACCACCTCGATCTTCTCGGGCGACGAGGAGCGCTTCGCCTTTGCGCGCGCCCTGAGCCGTCTCGCCGAGATGGGGAGTAAGCAGTGGGTGGAGCGGGGGTTGGCCTCTTCGGTTGGGGGAGTCAACGATGGTGGTGATGCTGCTGCTGATGCCAAGGAGAAGGCGAAGGAGCGGGAGGCGTTTTTGAAGGGGAGGGGGCATTGGGCGGAGGATAATATGTAGATATTCTTCGCCATGGAGGTTTGAGGGTGAGTTCCTAGGGAGGTTGAGGTTGAGGTAGTGGTTGTGGTGCGGTGGTTGGAGGGAGATGAGGTGTCGAGATGGTCTAGATTCTTACACTGAGTAGATTTCTGGGGATGGATAAGGCGGGTATTTCGGGTATCGCGGATGGTACAAGATGGGGTGTGGTCGGTAGAACACGATAGATGGGCTGAGAGAGGTGGGATGGGATATACTGAGTCCTCGATGATAGAATTGGTCCATGACTAAGGAGCTGACTGTCTGCTTGCATCATGTGTATGTGTGATGCCATGGTTCTTAGCTGGTGTACAGAATAGAATGCATGCTCTTAGATCCCGACCTACTCAGTAGTACTCATGCCTTAGGCACAATGCTACGGCATTTGCAATCCTGGACACGCAATTGGGCGGTTCCATTCGAACATTATAAGGTACTACAGTAGTATACTGTCGATCACGCGGTGCCTGCCAGCTGCTCCCTTGTCTTGTTTTCCCCCAAAGGTACTGAGTTACGATAAGTACTATATGAAGTACAAAGTATCTATCCCTGGCCTGGTGCTATACTCACCCACCATTTTTTGGTAGCTACTGTACTGCACTGTACTACTAGAGATTGAACAACCCGACATCCATATCAAAAGTCCTCAGCTACGGACGTACATCTTGTAAGCCAATGGAAAAGCAATGAATGTGTATCTGCTCATGCGCTCATATCACATACCTCTCTGACTACGCCGTACCGGTATGCCAATTCCAATGACGTCATCCCCATCCTCTTCCTCGGGAAAACAACACCCCCCCGAAGAACTAGAAACGACTAGATCGTACAGCGAATTTGTGTAGTCTAAGACTCTACCCGGTCTACCTAAGTACCTGCATGTACGCATAGCAGAATCAAGATCAAGCTTTACGCCCCTCGGAAATGCGAATTGCGCATTGCGAATTGCTCAGAAATCTACGCGAGTATCAAACCGGTTTGAGCGGGTACCTGGCTGACATCATGCCCCTGACCCGAACTGGCCGGCTACCACCGAACAACTTGCCGGAACCTCGTGGATGGGGATGGGGCCTTGGTTCTTTAGACTTGGGACTTCCCAACAGAGAAACATGACTGGGCGATCGACGCTCCAAACGGAATCTCTTGCATCATCTGGTTCCTCCTTGTCTGGGTCTATGGGGCTAGATGCAGGAGCTGAGTAACGGTGCTTAGAAATGGGGGGATGGGAGTGGTCCGTGGAATTGGTTGTAGGGCTGAAGGAAGAGTGGTCGTATATATAAAGGGTACCTGGGTACGAGCGAGGAGTTTGGTCTGATGGGAATTTGAGGATATATTCATTCACACACAATCATACACTGAGCAAAACACAACATGTCCAAGCAGGAAGACCTCGCGCGGGATACCGTCGACCTCTCTGAGGAGAGCCAAGGCAAGCTGCCTATGACGACGGATTATGGGATCAAGATCGCCGACCCGGATCATTGGCTTCGGGTGGCGGATGCGAAGAGGACGGGGCCTTCGTTGTTGGAGGATCCTATTGCTCGGGAGAAGGTGAGTTTTGCATTGACACCAGTAGGAAGGACTTCGGCTAATGGCTTGCCAGATCATGCGCTTCGACCATGAGCGTATCCCCGAACGTGTGGTGCATGCCCGAGGCGCTGGCGCCTTTGGTACCTTCACGCTGCACAAGGCCATCCCCGAGCTTACCACGGCTGGGGTGTTGACGGACACATCACGCGAGACGCCTGTGTTTGTGCGGTTCTCGACCGTGCAGGGTAGTAAGGGGAGTGCGGACACCGTTCGGGATGTCCGCGGGTTCGCCGTGAAGATGTATACTGCCGAGGGTAACTGGGATATCGTCGGCAACAACATGCCCGTCTTCTTCATCCAGGACGCGATCAAGTTCCCCGACGTTATCCACGCCGTCAAGCCAGAGCCGCACAATGAAATCCCCCAGGGCCAGTCGGCCCATAACAACTTCTGGGACTTCCAGTACCTCCATCCGGAGACCACGCATATGCAGCAATGGGTAAGTGGCAATTTGTGTATTTGTGGAATTGTGCAATAGTACTTATGATGAGGTTAGGTCATGTCCGATCGTGCAATCCCCCGGTCGTACCGTATGATGCAGGGCTTCGGTGTCAACACTTTCTGTCTCGTCAATGCACAGGGACAGCGCCACTATGTCAAGTTCCACTTCACACCCGAGCTCGGCGTTCACTCCCTGGTGTGGGATGAAGCCCTTAAGATAGCTGGCCAGGATCCCGATTTCCATCGCAAGGACCTTATGGATGCCATCGACGCCGGTCAATACCCGAGGTGGAAGTTCGGTATCCAGGTTATTCCCGAAGAGAAGATGGACGACTTTGAGTTCGACATTGAAGATGCTACAAAGATCTGGCCCGAGGAGCTGGTGCCTATTCAGTATATTGGACAATTGGAGCTGAACCGTAACATTGACGAATACTTCACGCAGACCGAGCAGGTGGCCTTCTGCACCAGCCACATTGTGCCCGGTATCGACTTCTCCAATGACCCCCTGCTTCAGGGCAGAAACTTCTCTTACTTTGATACCCAGCTCTCTCGCTTGGGGCCCAACTGGGAGGAGTTGCCGATCAACCGCCCGGTGTGCCCGTACATGAACCTCGTCAACCGGGATGGCGCCATGAAACACCGCATCACCAAGGGCAAGGTGAACTACTGGCCCAACCGGTACAGCACCAACCCTCCTACCGCGCCGGAACAGGGTGGTTTCGCTACCTATCCGGAGAAGCAGCAGGGCGTCAAGTCTCGTGGACTGTCGGATAAGTTCAAAGAACACTTCAACCAAGCCCAGCTCTTCTACAACTCGCTTTCGCCTATTGAGAAGCAGCACGTTGCCAAGGCATTCTCGTTCGAACTTGATCACTGCGACGAGGAGATCGTGTACAAGCGCTTGTCTGAACGTTTGGCCGTGGTTGACCTTGAGCTGGCCAAGACCGTGGCGAAGAATGTCGGCGGCGACACACCCACCAAGGCCGGTAAGCCGAACGAGGGTAAGACATCTAAGGGACTCAGTCAGCTCGAGTACCTCTCCGATGAAGCACAGATCGCGACTCGTCGGATTGCCATCCTAATCGCGGACGGATTCGACTACGACTCGTATGTGAAGATGAAGGAGGCTTTGCAGAAGCAGAACGCGTTTGTCTTCACCATTGGCACCCAGCGCCAGGGTGTAACGGCGGAGTCGGGTGAGAAGGTAGTTCCAGATCACCACTTCCCCGGTATGCGGTCAACTCTGTTCGATGCAGTGTTCGTCCCCGGAGGCAAGCACATTGCAGCCTTGACCAAGAATGGCATAGCCAAGTATTGGATCACCGAGTCATTCGCCCACCTGAAACCGATTGCCGGTCTCAATGAGGCGGTTGACTTCATTCGGAAGCAGATTAACCTGGACGCAGTGAAGCACGCCTCCAGTGGTGAGGTGGTGGAGAGTTACGGTGTGGTCACCGGCCATGGCTCCCCAGCAGAGCTACTGCAGCCGTCGTCGAAGATTGGCAAGGACAGCAAGGGACTTTTCGACCGGTTTGTCTGGCAGATCTCGCGGCACAGAAACTGGCAAAGAGAGTTGGATGGCCTGGCGGATGAGATCGCGGCCTAGGTTGTTGGGATCGTTAGATAGTTATGAGATATGATAGCACCTCAATTATTAATGAATCTGGTTTCTTTTCAAAGACGTACCGAAGTGTCAGCCACACCAATAAATATCCACATCGCCCTGTACAGCTCAGGGGTAGGAGTGAGCAGTGCGGACAATTTCGGGCTGCATGTGATGTGTGACTGGAATTCTGGTTTGATGCAATGCAAACGCCCTAAGCCCCGAGGCCTGAAAGAATATAAAGGCAGCAGCGTGGCCAGCAGAGCGTTGCTGGTTTTTCCCCAATTCTATCCTATACAACCACCCTGTTAGCTGTTCCAGAAATTCTCCTCGCGTGTGATCTGTACATTTCAGCCTGGTTCCACGGAAAATCAGTAGGGTGGGTGCAGATGGACATGTAAGGGGCAGGGCTTGACCGGTGAGTTCTCGACCAGCCGTGACTCCTTTATCAACCACGTCATTCGTGGTCAGTCTCATTGTTACACCAGACAGAGGGGGGCCATGTCACCCAGAATCTCGCGCTCTCAGCGCTTAATGGTCGTCATTGCAATTTCCTCTGCCTTCTTTGTGTCGGAGATCTCAGGTGCCTATTATCCTGTCACGCCGGGCGTTGAGATTAATGCTCCCTGTCGCTAATCATCCGATACCATAGTTGGATTTTACACACATTCTCTGGCGTTGGTGGCCGATGCCTTCCATTACGTGCGTCCGGGATGATCCTCCGAGAGACGATTGCTGATGATTGCAGTTGAGCGACTTGGTATCCTTCGTTGTTGCCTTTCTGGCTCTCAGGGTAAGTGAGATTTTGCACCGAGAGAAAATCATATAAAAATGCTGAAGCGCGTACTAGGTGTCCGAGGCCGATGACTCGCCCAAGGCACTCTCGTTCGGATGGCAGCGAGCCCAGTTGTTGGGCGCCTTTTTTAACGGGGTCCTTCTGCTTGGGCTCGGGATATCGGTCTTTTTGCAGTCCATTGAGCGATTCATCTCGATAGAGCGTGGGTGTCTTTTTGCGTAAGATCGATCCCTAGCTAACTGTTGATAGGCGTCGAGAATCCTAAACTCATGTTTATAATGGGTTCGATCGGCTTAGGACTCAACCTGATCAGTGCGACCTTTCTTCATGGTGCGTTCTGACCACTTTGGCACATGGGGTGTGGTTAACAAGAGGTTAGAGCATCATCACCATGGACATGATCATGACCATCCAGCTCGAGCCATGATAGAGGTCCCGGCATCAAGCACAGAAGATAGCGATGGGCAGGAGAGGCCTGAAAGTCCCGGGGTTCGTCGCGAAAGCTATCGATTCCTGACGTTCACACCAATGCTGACTGCTGAATACAACAGCATGACGATCACAAGCATGTTCTACACACAGCTCAGCCCGCTGCTCACGCACATGATTTGGGAATGATGGGAGTTTTGGTCCATGTTCTCGGCGACGCAGCCAATAATCTTGGCGTGATGGCCGCGGCATTGGTGATCTGGCTGACCCATTACGAGGGTCGGTACTATGCTGATCCAGGAACGACTATGGGGATCTCAGTCATGATTATCCTGTCCTCCTTCCCGCTTAGTATATCCATCCACTCCTACTATCGGCAGTTTGGGTGCTGATTGTTCTAGTGCGACGAGCCGGTCGCATCTTACTTCAGAGCGCACCGGATGGAGTTGATGCTGAAGATGTGAAGCATGACTTGGAAAAGGTGAGTCTCGAAAGGCGTAACTGTTCCATCGCTGACTAGAAGCTAGATTCCCGGCGTGTTGTCGGTTCATGAGCTTCACATTTGGCAGTTAAACCAGCAGAAGACACTGGCATCTGTCCATGTAATGGTGTCGGATAGCTCGGTTCCGGCCTTTTTGAGGTTGACCAAGACGATCAATGAATGTTTCCATGCATATGGCATCCATTCAACCACTATCCAGCCAGAGGTGGTGCATCCGGGAGCGATCAGCAGCCTGGAGACTGAGGGATTAGAGAAATGTCAAGTCGTATGTGGAGCAATGTGTGCAGGATTAACCTGCTGCGGATAGATAGATACCGAGGCAAAAAATATTGAAGTGTTGCGATGGGAGAAGAGGGAAATTGTAGTTAACGAGAAGGACAGACATTTAGAAAGAACAATCAGTGGGAGTCATCTGACCTCGATTTAGTCATCTCTCCTCCTCAGGCTTCCTTCTCTCTCCGCAACTCTTCTTCACTCGCATGCTGTTCTTCCCCTCACAGACCGACATCCGACGATAAGAATTGGATAAGTCGGAATATCTTATCTCTTACCCCTCAGGCATGCGGAATTGATTCCATGAGACAACAAAGGCATTGTGTTGTTTCTACCTTTAAAGCACCTGTCTCCTACGATTCCTAGATCTCGCAGAGACTCTGTGGCTGCACAGAAACGTGCCACTCAAGGACGTGTAGAAGTACTTGGGATAGATTCCATCGAACTTCCCTTCGATCAGCCACAATAGGCAGGTACTCGCGATAGCTTGGAGATAAGAAAGACCGCATCCCCACCCGAGGTTGATCGCCTATCTGCACGCCGCTTGCACAGCGTCCCCTCTCGCTTCCTCGCGAACCACCGTGATTGGATTGCATTCCGATTCGGAAATGCCCTTCAAGTACCAATCCCGCCTGGTTCCCAAGCCTCAATGATGTCGACTGTGCGCTAGTTGTGAGAGGGTTGGTTGCTGGACGCGGCACTATAAAGTTGACTTACCCAGTTTCCTGCTCCTTGCTTCTGTTCACTTCTCGTTTGTTCGGTTGTAAAACCACCGCTATCGTTCTGCAACATGGCACTTCCCTGGGAGGTTCAGGCTCAAAAAGCTCGAGATATCCTTTCTAGCTCCATTCCTCAACAATGGCTCGTCCCTGCCGACAAATTGCCCTCGCCAGATGAAAAGAACGTAGAGGACTTCCCGCGCAGGAGCGGGCTGTTCTCGGAGCACGAGCTGGCCATCACTAAGATGTCCGCCACAGAGTTGGTACGCGACATGGGCGCCGGAAAGCTTACCGCAGAGGAGGTGGTGATGGCTTTCCTGAAGCGTGCCGTGGTCGGACACCAATTGGTTCGTATAACCGGTTCCGCCGAAGTCTATCCGTCAAAGTGATCCAGCAACTAAGATTAGATGTCCTAGCTCAACTTCGCAACGGAGTTTCTGGCAGACAAAGCAATTTCGCGAGCAAGAGAGCTAGATCGACACTTCAAGGAGACTGGGAATCTAGTTGGGCCACTGGTAGGATATTCTCATTTGCAAAAGAACATAGGGAGCTGATAGTCACAGCACGGCGTACCCATCAGCGTCAAAGAGCATATTGGTATCAAAGATTTAACCTGCAATGGCGGCTATGTAGCATGGTACGTTGGACCCTCCCAAAGCGGAAAGGCATTTACATCTGACTAGATGCAGGGTAAATGACATTGCAACCGAGGATGCACTGCTCCTCCAATACCTCGAAAAAGCCGGGGCTGTTTTCCACGTCCGCACAAATCAACCACAATCCCTCATGGTATCTCTTCCTTCCTATCAAAATTACAACATAGCTGACTCTGTTAGCATCTCTGCTGTAGCAACAACCTGACCGGCACGACACTGAATCCATACAACCTCACTCTCAGCCCTGGAGGCTCCTCGGGAGGCGAGGGCGCTTCAACGGGTTTCAAATGTGCCCCTCTGGGTATTGGCACAGATATCGGAGGTTCGATCCGCTGTCCTGCTGCGTTCTGTGGCTCGTATGGATTCCGTCCGACGGCCCTACGCAACCCAATGACAGGCATCAAGGCGCCCGAACCTGGCCAAGAAGCAATTCGCGGGGTTGTTGGTCCTCTTGCTAGTCAGAGTGTGGCAGATCTCGAACTCTTTCAGCGGGCTGTACTTGATCAACAGCCCTGGGAAATCGAAACCTCGATCCCGCCGGTGCCTTGGCGACGAGTACAGCCTACCATGGAGATGACCGTTGGAATCATGTGGGATGACGGGTAAGCCTTCTTCGTACCTTGAATCTCAGCCCTCGTCCCGTCACATTCTTCAGTTGGGAGCCGGATGGCGCGCAAAGCCATCAAGAGTATTTTACTTGACTGCTCACTATCTCCAGGATTGTCCATCCACATCCCCCCGTGACTCGCGCACTCAGACTCGCTAAATCCAAGCTCGAAGCAGCCGGCATTAAGGTCGTGGACTGGGAGCCCTACAAACACGGCCATGGCTGGGACATAATTGTGAGTCCTATCCTTGCGGTCATCTCCAAATCCCGCTCTTTTGCTCTGTGCTGACAGTCGAAAGTCTAAAATGTACTATCCTGATGCAGCCCTCCTCCAACGTAGCCTGATCACCGCGTCGGGCGAGCCCACACTCCCCCTGACCTCGTGGGCTTTCACTTACAGTAGCCCCAACCCCCTCACTATCGCCGAGACCTGGACCTTGAATGCTCAACGCGATGTCTACCGTGATGAGTATCAAGCCTTAATGCGGTCCCGCGGCGTTGACTTCATTCTCTGCCCGGCGTACGTTGGCGTCGCTTCCGTGCTTGGGGAGAGTCATTACTGGAACTACACGGCCATCTGGAACATCCTTGATCAGCCAGCCGTAGTCTTTCCAAGCGGGCTGTTCGTCGAAAGAGATGAGCTGGTAGAGGAAGAAAAGGAGTATGTACCGCGGACGAATGGTGTTGATGAACGGGAATGGATGAAATGGAAGGTTGCTGGAGCGGAAAGATACGAGGGAGCACCGGTGGGATTGCAGTTGGTAGGAAAGCATTTCAAGGATGAGGAGACGCTGGCAGCAGCAGGGTTGGTTAGTGAACTGCTTTCTAGTGCTTAGGAATATCTGAGGGTAGCATGGTTCCCCTCTTAGAATCGGTGGCTGGTCTTGGCCAGATACCTGTATGTCTTGACTACGAGAAATTCTTTATCGATACTCAACAGAGTACAATTTGAACTCACATACTGACAATATCTGCCTTCAACAAACAGACTTGACTCAAGGTAATTATTCACTCTAGTCTC